AAAAATAATTTTTTTTTAAAAAGAGAGACCCAAGGAGACAGGGTATGATGGATATGTGTCTTAACTGTGGGAATAGTTGCACGGGTGCATACATGTTAAAACTTGTACAGTTGTACACTTTAAATATATGTTGTTTTTTGTACATCAATTATACCACATAAAGTTGTTGAAAAAAACAACAGGGCTGGGGTTGTTGCTCAGCGGTGGAGCGCTAGCCTAACATGTGCAAGGCCCTGGGTTCAATCCTCAGCACCACATCAAAATAAATAAATAAAATAAAGGTATCATGTCCATCTACAACTAAAAAATAAATATTTTTTAAAAATCAAATAAGGGCTGGGGTTGTGACTCAGTGGTAGAGCGCTTGCCTGGCATGGGTGAGGCCCTGGGTTCCATCCTCAGCACCACATAAAGATAAATAAATAAAGGTATTGTGTCCATTTACAACTAAAAAATATTTAAAAAAAATAACAATGCAATTTATTCTAAGCATTACATGAATATTATATTATTCTCTTTCATTAAAACCCTAAGATGCAGATACTATTATTATCTCCTTCTCATTTTACAGATGAGATAAATAAAGCACAAAGAACTTAGGTAGTTTTACAAAGGGCACAAAACAGATCTGGGGCTCAGTTTAGGCAATTTAGGCCCACATTCATACTCAAATGGGCTACTTCTAGGTGATGCTGTCTGAGAGTTTACAGTGTCCTGGAGCTTTCTACACTGCTGATAGCATAGACACTGAACCAGCCATTCTGAAGAACAAGTTGGCAGCACATAGTCACATTAGGTGTGAGAACACCCTATGACTCAGCGTTTCTGCTTCTGCAGATATTTATAAATACAGACAGAGTCATAGTCATAGACATAGACACATCTTCCAAAAAAATTCTAACAGGAAGCCTTGCATAGTGGTGCATGCCTGTAATTCCAGTGACCGGGGAGGCTGAGGCAGGAGGATCATGAGTTCAAAGCCAGCCTCAACTTTGTGAGGCCCTCAACAGCTTAGTAAGACCCTGTCTCAAAAGGGGAGTGGGGCTGGGGATGTAACTCAATGGTTAAGTGCTCCCGGATTCAATCCTGGTACCCAAAAAAAAAAAAAAATTCTAACAGAGTTCATAATGACCTTGTATGAAAATATTCATTCATTCACACACACACACACACACATATATATATATATATATATATATGTGTGTGTGTGTGTGTGTGTGTGTGTGTCCCAAATTCCTGGGATTACAAGCACGTGACACCTGCCTGGTGCCACATTATTTGTTGTGGTTGGGTGATATGGGTGCCCATTAATAGGATTGTTAGTAGGTAAAATGTGTTGTGACTGATCCATGGAGTATCATGCAATAGCTTTGATAATCACAGACCACAAGTGGATTTTACAAACTCAATATTTATTGAAGATAATAAGGCCATGGCCACGGGTATAACTCACATATTTAGCATGTGCAAGGTCCTGGATCTGATTGCTAGCACACGCACACAAAAAGTAAGATCAGAATAAAATATATGACAAGATACTATTTACAGAAATTAAAAATGCCTGCATACAAACGGGGCTTGGTGGCACATGTCTGTAATCCCAGTGGCCCAGGAGGCTGAGGCAGGAGGATCCTGAGTTCAAAGCCATCCTCAGCAGTGGTGAGGTGCTAAGCAACTCAGTGAGACCCTGTCTCTAAATAAAATGCAAAATATTGCTGGGGATGTGGCTCAATGTCAATGGTTAAGTGCCCCTGGGTTCAATTGCAGTTACCAAAATTAAATTTAAAAAAAATAAAATAAAACTCAGTGCTCCAACACACATCTGTAATCCCAGCAATACATGAGGCAGGTAAGCCTTAGCAATTTAGTGAGACCCTGTCTCAAAATTAAAAAAAAAAAAATCAAAAGCATCGGAAATGTAATTCAGTGATAAAGAGCCCCAGGTTCAATCTAAGTACCAAAATAAAATGAAACAAAAAGAAGACATAGATCAGTGAAGACGATTTGCCAAGAACTGTTATTAGATCAGTCTTCTGCACCTAAGACTAAAATATGCAAACAAAATACAGGGAAGGGACAAGGGGGAGAAGGTAGTGTTGTTGAAGCTAAATGGTCAGGGATTCCTCCCTGAAACTGGAAGCCAAATGGGAGATGAAGGTGTGGGTTAGGGACAATCCTGAATTTCTTCTGCCATCCAGCCTCCTAGTTCCTTAGCCTAAGGGCTTAGAAAAACAAAAGTCTGCAGGAATTAGCTCTCCAAGATAGTGAAACTTAGAAAAGTCTACAATGGGATCTGAGATAAACCAGCCAAGGATTACTATACAAGACCAACATGCACATAAACTACAAAGCAAAGCTCCCTGCTGTCATGTAGTTTCTCTTTTCTATCAATTTAGCCTCTTCCACCTTCCCTGTCATTTTTTTTCCTCTTCTTCCTTCAACTCCTTTTTCTTCTTTTAGCTCCTCTTCTATTTCTCCATTACTTTTTCCATACTCTTTAAACTATCCTGTCTCCTTATATTTCAGTTCTGACTTGCTCTTCCTGATTCCACATTCTCTGGGTTTAAACACCTAGAAAGGTCCATCCCTGAGAAACATCAGGAATGAAACTTGTCCCAAGTGGCAGGTCAGAACCCAGAGCACTGGACCCCAGCTCTGCACCCACTCACTGCACTGCAGTCTGTGCCCCCTTCCTACTCTTCTTTTTAACTCTTGGCACCTTGCTCTGCTGATTTTCTTTCTCCCTGACCTTCTCCTTTGGTAGCATTCCAGCATCCCTGATTCTCCTTTTACCTTCCTGATCAGTCAGTCCCTCTCCTACCAGCAATCTGTTTTCTTCCTTCTGCTTTTAAATGATTGTTGCCATCCATATGCAATAGACCCTTAGTGCATTTATTCAACAAAACTTTGTGGGTTTTTTTTTATTCATTCAACAACAACAAAAAAAGCTGAATATTAGAGATACAGAGAAACAAGATGACTTTCTACCCTTTGCGGTTGAATTACAGAAAGGAGGGGAAATGAATGATAACAGACTATGTGTAAGAACACACACCTTTCTGGAGGAATGTCCAAGAAAGCTTCACAGAGGATGGGGAGTTTTTTTGTTTGTTTGTTTTTTAATGATGAATGCAGGACCTCAGGCTTCCCAGGTTGCAGTGATTCATGTAGCAAAGGCACCAAGTGAAAGAGCACAATGGATTCCAGTACATGAAGCAGTTAGGCCTTGACCTTCAGAGGAAAGGATTAAAGGCAGGAGTAATAGATAAGGCAGAAATGAAAGCAGAAAGGCAGGAGGGTTTGAACTTGACAGGCAACAACAGAAATGTAGTGACTTTGGGGTACTGGGGTGAGGTTAGACATTTTTGCAGTACTAGAGATTGAACACAGGGAGCGCTCTGTCACTCTACTACATCCCCAGCCTCCCCCCCCCCCTTTTTTTTAAGAGAGGGAGGGAGGGAGGGAGGGAGGGAGGGAGAGAGAGAGAGAGAGAGAGAGAGAGAGAGAGAGAGAGAGAATTTTTATTTTAATATTTATTTTTTAGTTTTCGGCGGACACAACATCTTTGTTTGTATGTGGTGCTGAGGATCGCACCTGGGCAGCACGCATGCCAGGCGAGCGCACTACCACTTGAGCCACATCCCCAGCCCCATCCCCAGCCCTTTTAATTTTTGAATTTTGAGACTGGATTGGAAATTGAGAGCCACCTGCCTCAATCTCCAGAGTCGCTGGGATTACAGGCGCCCGCAACAACATCAGTCTTCCAATTTGAAAATTGCGCGCTGCCATCCTTTCAAAGGAAGAGGAAAAGCAGCAAGACCAATCAGGGATATGGTGTTCCAAAGTGGCAGAATACAGAGATAAAATCAGATAAATGAGAAACGGTCAGAACACCAATGTTAGCGGGTGGAGGGATGCTGGACAGTATAGGAGATCAAACATGATCTCCAACATAGGGGTGATAAGGAAGTTAGGACGCGGAGCAGCAGGTTTGAACATGCCGATGGTGTGAACTACCCCTTCACGACGATAGCTGCACACGTGGGTCTAGAGCTCCACAGAAGCTTGGCTTGAACATAACTGAAGCCTTAGGCAGGTAGAATGCCCAGGGACCTTCGGTGTTAGGCTACCCTGGTCCAATACACTACGGCTCCTCGCTTTCCCTCCAGGTGGCACTACAGCCCCGCGCTTCTGAGGCGGGTTTTCTGAGCAGCGCGCTCTCTAAACTCTAGGTGTCCGTCTTTTCTTCCTAGACCCGCTGACTGTGGGTCGCGCCCTCTTCGCTGGGGTTTGGCTGGGGATCCAAACCCGGAGCAGGCTCTGGAGAGAGTGTCGTCCACGCGACCAGCACATGTATGGCGGCTCAGGGACCTCAGGGTTGGCGGCGTGATGGGCGTGAGCACCTGTCCCTTGGGACACCTCGAGGAACCAACGTGGAATGAGTGTAGAGGACGGTGCCAACAGGCAGTGTATGGAACAGGGATGCATGAAAAGAAAGGACCGCGGAACCCATTGTGCTCTATCACTTGGTGACTTTGCCACTGGACCCAACAAGAACGGAAATTCCTGGCTCCCAGGGCCATCCCGGCGTGGGAAGCTTGTCGCGGACCCTTTAAGGCTCCATCTCCCTGCCCTTCCCCGCCCAGGACAGGCCGGGACACCGGGGACCTGACATTTGGCGGAGTATACTGTGGGAGCTAAAAATAGTCGCCGCTAGGGGTTACTTCGGGGCATTGTTCTTCACACACCCCGCGCGCGCGGGCTCGCACGCTCTGTGTCATGCTATTGGAGTTCTCCCCTCCCCGGGCAAGTACACCTGGCCCATCCCCACGTCTTCGTCCTAGCAGCCTGACCTGCGGCTGGACTATAAAAAAAAAATCCGTCGCTAGGTATCTCGGATGGTGGGGGCGGAGTCCTGACACGTGGTGGGCGGGGCCTTTCGTTTGGCAAACCCTGCTCAAAAAAACTTTATGGCCAGAAGCTGGCGGGAACCCGAGGGGCGTGTCTCGCAGGTGGTAAGGGGCGTAGTTTCCCCCGCCAGCCCCACTAATTCAATCCAAACTCTAAGCCCCAGGTTTAGCGAGGGGGCGTGGCCTTTGGGGTGTGCGGGCTCCTGGCCAATGAGTGTTGTGAAGGGCGTGTCCCGCAGCGGGGCGGGAGTGAAGTGGCGGGGGCTTCTCAGGTCTTTTCCCCCAGCCGGGCTCTGCCAGATACCAGGGAGCCCCGCTGCTTTCTGTCTCCTTCGCTTGTGGCTGTGGGACCCACCAGGACTGCCTTCCACACATTGCTCCAGGATACCCGTGGTCCCCGCGCCTCTGCCTGCCGGACCGGGGTCAAAGACTTCCCAGTCGCTTCTCATCTCTGAAGCTCCTGCACCTCCAGCTATTCTAAGACAAGATGCCGTCGGGCTTCCAACAGATCGGCTCAGAAGTAGGGTTCAGCATGCGGGGGCGGGGTGGGGGCACAGGTCCAGCTTATCCTGGGCTGGGGTCGTGACCGGGGTCAGCAGGGGGGTGTTCCTGCTCAGGCGTAGGGGGTGGAGGTGGGGGGCTGGCTATTTATACCCAGCCTAGACAACCCGTGACTGTCAGATTCCAATCTCGCCAAGAGGCAGAGTGGGTATGGGGCACATTTCGGGAGCTCAGGCCGCAACTAGATTATGCCGAGTTCAGAGTGCGTCTGCTTTCCGGCTCTGCGGAGTTGCGCCCCATTCTGGGACGCCCTGCGCTCTATCCAACTTGGGAAAAGCCTCCACATCCGGGAGGATCTGGCCCCCAGTAGCTGTCCTCTTGTCCCGGCTCACAGGCAGTGTTTCGAGGACTGGAGGCTCTCCCTGGGCCCCACCCCCCACTCCTGGCGGATCTCCAGGACGCTGAACTTTCTCTTGGCCCGTTGTGGGTGGAGGGGTAGAGGGGAGTGTCAGCCCCCCCCCTCCCCCAGCTCAGGTTTCTGCTCGGAGACAGTCTGTGCCGCCAGCGAGCAGCCACCACTGCCACCGCCCCTCACGCCACCATCCCTCCCTCTTCCCTGGGCATGGCTCTCCCTGGCAGAACCCGGGCACAGCCCCCAGCCCTTGGTTGGAGCTTAGAAGGGGAGGGGAGGCCAGGGCAGAGAAATAGAAGGCCACCCCCTGAGGAATGACCTGGATGTCCTTTTTGGAATTGCCCTTCTTGGGCCTGTTGGGGGCCTCCTGTAGCTGACTGAGAAAACCCCCAGAGAGGAGGGAAGAGAACAGTGGCTGATGATAATGCACTTGTCAGGTTATAAAACTAGCACTATTAGAGTTACTGTAAACATTCGGTTTTGATTTTCACAACACTTTCACTGACAGGTAAGCAAGGCAAGCAACATCACCCCCAGCTCACAGAAGAGGAAACTTAGGTTCAGAATGGGAAAGTGACTTGCCCAAGGTCATACAAATCTGAGCCTGTCCCAAGGTCACAGGGAAATTCAGGCTTAGGTCCTCAAACATTTCTCTGCCTGTGGACTCAAACATTCAGTTTCTCCTCCATGCCCTGGTTACCACTGGGTTCTTTGTGCTCCTGTTTACATTGAGATCTTTGTGCAATTCCTAATATGGCCCAGTTTCCCTCACCCAGCATGTTGGGTGGAACCCAGCATCTTCAGGCTCCAGCTGGGCCCAGGCCCCTGGGGAAAGGAAAAAAAGCATGATTCCACATGACATGTCCCTCTCTGCTTCTGCCTGTCCAGGATGGGGAACCTCCTCGACAGCGAGTGACTGGGACCCTGGTCCTTGCTGTATTCTCAGCTGTTCTTGGCTCCCTGCAGTTTGGCTACAACATTGGAGTCATCAATGCCCCACAGAAGGTGAGGGGCCTGCAGCTAGCAGGGTAGAGGTGCCCAAATCAAGGACAGGGAGACTTGAGGGGATGGAAAAGGAAGGGTTTGCAGGGAATCACTACTATGCTGTCCCTCCAGGTGATTGAACAAAGCTACAATGAAACATGGCTGGGGAGACAGGGTCCTGAGGGACCTGGCTGCATTCCACCAAGCACCCTTACTACCCTCTGGTCTCTCTCCGTGGCCATCTTTTCTGTGGGCGGCATGATTTCCTCTTTCCTCATTGGCATCATCTCTCAGTGGCTGGGCAGGTATGGGGTTGGAGGGCAAGGGTGGGGGTTAGGAAGGGAGCCACAGCATGGGTCCCTGATACTCACAGCTCCACTCTTTATTTGCTCACTAGGAAAAGGGCTATGTTGGCCAACAATGTCCTGGCGGTGCTGGGGGGCACCCTCATGGGCCTAGCCAATGCTACTGCCTCCTATGAGATACTCATTCTTGGACGGTTCCTCATTGGCGCCTATTCAGGTACCCGTGAACACCACAGCCCTGCCATGAATCTAGCTCTCCTTCACCATACTTGGGTTTCCAAATGGGAGTGGGCAGCTGTACTCAGCCCTTTCGTCTTCCCTCTGCTCAGGGCTAACATCAGGGCTGGTGCCCATGTACGTGGGGGAGATTGCCCCTACTCACCTTCGGGGTGCCTTGGGGACACTCAACCAACTGGCCATCGTCATTGGCATTCTGATCGCCCAGGTAACTAGGCTTGGCCTGGTGGGAGACTAGGCAGGGGTTAGGTTAGGGTGGACCTCCAAGGTCCATCAGGAGGCATGAGTCACCTGCTTTCCTTCCCTACCTTCTCCCATAGGTGCTAGGCTTGGAGTCCATGTTGGGCACTGCTACTCTATGGCCACTGCTCCTGGGCATCACAGTACTTCCTGCCCTTGTGCAGCTGGTCCTGCTGCCCTTCTGCCCTGAGAGTCCCCGCTATCTCTACATCATCCGAAACCTGGAGGGGCCCGCGCGAAAGAGTGAGCTCACACCCTGTGTCTAGCCGAGACCCATACCTCCACCCATACCTCCACCCTAACTTGCTAGTACCTGTCCTCCTCTCAGGCCCCATCAGTCCTGACCCTCCCCCCCCCCCCCCCCCCCCCCCCCCGCCAGGTCTGAAGCGCCTGACGGGCTGGGCCGATGTGTCTGATGCGCTGGCTGAGCTGAAGGATGAGAAGCGGAAACTGGAGCGAGAGCGGCCACTGTCCCTGCTCCAACTCCTTGGCAGCCGCACCCACCGGCAGCCCCTAGTTATTGCAGTTGTGTTGCAGCTGAGCCAGCAGCTCTCAGGCATCAATGCTGTACGTATGGAGCAGCCAGCAGACCTGGGGAGGGGAGAAGGGAACTAACTTCCTCCATTAACACTCAGGGTTGGTCCAATTTGGTATGGCTGGAGTGGAAAACAGGACAACTCTGCCATCACCTCTTCTTCTCCCTTACCTCTAGGTTTTCTATTATTCGACCAGCATCTTCGAGTCAGCAGGGGTGGGGCAGCCAGCCTATGCCACCATAGGAGCTGGTGTGGTCAATACTGTCTTCACCTTGGTCTCGGTAACTACTTGCCTCTGGAATGGACTGCACCACAGGCTTCACATCCCTGGGTTTCTGAAGGCCCTACTCTTGGTTATCCCCACCTGTCAACATGCTCCCACTTCCTGTGTCTTGAAGGTCCCCTGCCAAACCCTAACTCTTCCCACAGGTGTTCTTGGTGGAGCGTGCTGGGCGTCGAACACTTCATCTCCTGGGCCTGTCAGGCATGTGTGGCTGTGCCATCTTAATGACTGTGGCTCTGCTTCTGCTGGTGAGGCCTGGGGGGCTGGGACGGGCCAATAGCCCAACCCATGGGAATGGTCCCAAGGTTCTGTGGCTAGTCAGGATCACACCTTAACATTTATGCCTTCAATCCTGGGGCTGCTGTGTGCCAGGACCGTGGGTGCTTGGCTATAGCACAAGTCTGTCAGCCAGGAGAAAGAGCCCCTGTCAAGCCTCAGGAACAATAATTCCTAAGAACTCAGATTTAGAGCCAATGGGGAATCAATCATCATAGGAATTGAGACCAGAATGTTTCCTCTGCCTTGAATCTGCATGGGGCAGCCAACATAGTGTCAGTGTTCAGAAATGCTTCAGGGCCTGTTCTAATGAAGGGTGGCACACCCCCCACAAGCTACTGGGAAGGGTAGATTTCAATTCTCCTGTAGGTCAAATGCAGGTAAATATCCAGAAAGCCGAAATCAGCTTCACTACCTTCCCTGCCTGGTCCCTAGGAGCGGGTTCCAGCCATGAACTATGTCTCCATCGTGGCCATCTTTGGCTTTGTGGCTTTCTTTGAGATTGGCCCTGGTCCCATACCCTGGTTCATCGTGGCCGAGCTCTTCAGCCAGGGACCCCGCCCAGCGGCTATGGCAGTGGCTGGTTTCTCCAACTGGACGTGCAACTTCATCGTTGGCATGGGTTTCCAGTATGTTGCGGTAGGTCCCCCATCCCTGCCCCAATCTCCCACACTGGAGAATAGAGGGGGCAACACATCACTATCCTACTTGCTTTCCAGTCAGGGACCCCCAACCCTAGAGTGGTGGTCTTTGGATCAATTTGGTGGAGCTGCTCCACCAGAATCAAAGGAAAATGGGGCAGAACTAGATTGGATAGTAACACAGGTGTCTTTGGAACAAACCAGTGGCATAACTTAACTTAGACCAGGAATAAAATGATTTAAACTTTGTATTAATACCACAAATGGCTGGGAATCTCCTCTGAGTGCAATACGGTGAAGGGAAGAGAAATGGGTCTGGGTTCAGATAATCCATTTTTCAGCATAATCCTTCATTTCTGGTCATTTCCATTGCCCCTTGAATTGTCCACCTGTTTCTGCAGTAGTCCCAGCTCCCTATTAGGAGTATTTAGTTCTTGACTTGCCTGAAACTATCCCTTCCCATCCCACGCCACCCTACTCTGTCAACACCTTTCTCCACTTATCCCAGGATGCTATGGGTCCCTACGTCTTCCTTCTATTTGCGATCCTCCTGCTTGGCTTCTTCATCTTCACCTTCTTAAAAGTGCCTGAAACCCGAGGCCGGACGTTTGACCAGATCTCAGCTGCCTTCCGTCGGACACCCTCTCTTTTAGAGCAGGAGGTGAAACCCAGCACGGAACTCGAATACTTAGGGCCAGATGAGAATGACTGAGGGGCAAGGCAGGGGTGGGAGAACCAGCTTTCTCCACCCCTGAGATCCCCTCCTTTCCTCTGCAGCACTTTAACCCTCTCTTCCCCATTACTTCCAGGGTAGAGAAAAAACCCTGCAACCTGGTAGAATTGGGAAGCTGAAGGGAAGGGTGGTCTAAGCACCCCTTCATTCCCCTCGTGTGACTCTTTTGGATTATTTATGTGTTGTGGTTAGGCCGTGACTGTCAGGGTGGGCTGTTTTCCCTCTCCTTTCCCACCCCAAACTCCTCTCCAGAATACATCCACCCCCTCTAGGGAAGAGGGGCTAGAGAAGAGGTGGCTCTAGACTGGCTTCTTCAGTGGAACAAACTGAAGCAGAAAGCAGGACATGAGACCAGAAGTTGAGTTTCCCACCACCTTAGACTCCTCCCACAACCTGGCACTTTCACTGAATTATTGCCACATATACTCTGGGTGAAGGGGGCTCTGTCTTGACCCCTCTAGGGCAAAGGGCTCACCCTCCCCAAATCTAGCCTCTCCTCCCTCCCTCCAGGCTCAGCCTTTCAGAGTAAGAGGGAATACAAAGTATGTACGTACCCTCATGTGGTGAGAAGGGAGAGAAGGCATCTGCCTGTAAACTTGGGGCCTCATCTCAGTTGTTCCCCAAGCCTGCCAAGTGGGGAACCCAGCTCTTTTCTCCACTCCTATTCTGGAAGGGTGCTGCCCCCACAGGCTTTTGACCAACTAAGGGCAAAAGGGGATTTGAATGACTGCCTGTAAACAGTGGATGGGAGGAGACTTTGGATATTTTTGTATATGTTTGAATGGGTAGGGAGCAGAAACCAAAAGGCTGTTGTACTAAATATGTATATATAGATTCATCTATAAAGTCACTGTATGGAGAAGAGTGTCCTGTCATGGAGGCACTGGAGGATGGCTGAAACGGGGACTACAATCCACTTTGCCTGCCCCTCTTCCTCCCTCTGTCTTGCCTCACCTCCAGGCCTCAGAATCCTCTAGATGTTGTCACTCATGCCCTTTTCCATTACTTTTTATTGCTTTAATAGTAAATGTTCAATAAACAATAGCCGCAAGTGCCAGGCACTGCAAGGGAGGCATCATCCCTGTTTGACAGGAACAGTGAATCTCAGTGTTGACGGCACTTGTCAGAGCTGCACAGCTAGGGACACCAGAGCAAAGAGTCAAGGGTAGGCCCTGCTGACTGCCTATATCTTCTCACACTTCACCGCCCATGGCTCTGAAGTGAGTTACCTGTGATCCAAATTCTCCAGAACAGAGAAGAGGCAGAGACCAAGACAACAAGAAAGCCTGTTTTTGTTTTTACTGGAGGCTCAGGTGGCACATGACAGTTCATAAAATGGCTTCAGAGGTAGGGAGTTGAAGGGAAACAAAAATAAACTGGGTGGGAAAGAAAAGCAACCAGGAGGAGGTTAAGAGCTGGCTGGTTCCTTCTCAGCCTGACTTAGGGGAGGAAGTTGATGCCTCCGAACACTAAGGATGGAGCCCTTCCTTCAACCCTTGATAGGGAAGAATGGGGAAAAAAATGCAAAAGGCTGTTTCTTTAGCCCTCCTGAGTCTCAAGGAAAAGGGAAAAAGCCGGTCTTCTGATGTCATGAGTTATGGGAAAGGAGGGAGGGGGTGCTGGGTAGGGTACAGGTCAGTTGGAAAAAACTGGCAGATACCTAAGAGAACAAAAGAAACAGACAAATCATGAACATAAACTTATCATCATGACCCATTCCCCAGCCTTCTTGCCACCTGCCCTCTGAAAAGAGCAGCCTCTCACCAGATGGTAGCTCTGGGTGTCCTTTGAGTTGGAATCACTCCAGTATGGTGGTAGGGGGGTCCCCACTGTTGATGGGGGCTGAGGTCTAGAGAAAATGGTAGTCAATTAGGCTTCTTGTTCTTCAGGAAGCTTCATGCCTTCTGTCTTTCCCTTTTGCCCTCCTTTCCCCAACAATTTCTACCCACAGGCTGGTGCTAAGGCTCCAAGCAGAACTGAGGTGGGGGTGGGGTTTTGCAGGGGGTTAACATGGCTTGATTGTCTCTGCTGGGGCTGATTGATATAGTACCTACCAAGGGTGGCCCTAGCAATCTACATGAAAGGACAGAGACAGGGGAGTGGCACAGTAATAAAGAAGGGAAGGGAAAGGGCCAAAAATGGGACAGCTGGTCCCAGCCATTTCCCTCCACCCCCAATTCCACTATCCTCACCTCTGGGGCTGTGGGCTGCCGGGGGCCAGGGGGCTGCTGCCGTCGCCGCTGGAAGTAGGGGCGGTTTCGTGGGCGCTGGGGCTCAGGCCGGGAACCATCAGTGGGGCCTTGGCTGGGCTTGGTCTTACCATCCCCACCTTCAGTGGTAGGCTGCTGAGGTGGCCTGGGGCGGAAAGGCCTAGGAAAAGAAGCAGAAGCCATGAAGGGACTATGGAACCCAGGGCAGACCACTTCTCTCACCAGGACTTCCCCAGCTTCCCTATTCCCATCTCCAGAAGCCAGGCTTTCAGCTCCATGTAAGTCGTGCTTCCCTCTGGGTACCTCTAACCATTAACTTTAGGCACTTCTTAGGAACTCTTCCCCTTTTGCAAAGACTAAACACCAGACAGCAAAGAGAAACTGAGCCCCCAGAAAAGGAGTCTTACCTTCGGTACCTGGGTCGGAATCTGGGTGGAGGCACCCGCTCATCTCCCTGCTGTTGGTCCACCTCTAGCGGAGCTGTCTCTTTGGGTTCTACACCATCAGTGCCCTGGGAATATACAAAGGCCTTGGTGGGCTGTAGGAACCCTGGCTGTCCAGGGGCCAGATTATCCCTGGCTCTTCCCAGCCCTTGGTTCCACTTCCTTTGTGGACCCTGTAGTCTCTAACCTCACCAATCCCCACTTCTGCCTAAAATTTGAGTAGATGGCTCCCTTACTGCAGCTTCCCCTCACCTCTATAGGCTGCTGCTGATTAGGGGGCCAAGGGCCTCGCACAAACCGTCTTCGGTAGAAGAAAGGTGGTGGGCGCCGTCGTCTGGGCCGCTGCCCAGAGTCCTCGGCCCGCTCCCCTTCACTACCAGGTTCTGTTCCACCTGAGGGAGCCTCTGCCACCATAGGTGGTGGGGCAGCTGGGCAAGGCCGGGGGATGAATCGGCGGAATCTACGTCGATTGGGGGCATAGCGGCTGCCTTTCACTGGCACCCCCCCAGGCCCAGTTACATTGGCAGCTTCTGCACCCTGGAAATGTGGAAGGGGAATCGTCAGAACCCCCCACCCCATGACAAACGCACAACATTTGCAAACTTGCTGGAATCAGTGGAGTCTCTTCTGTCTTCCAGCCCAAGTCCCCTCTCCAGCTCTCCTGTAGCTCCTCTTATACTTATCCAGCTCCCCCACCCTACCAAAGGGCAACAGTGAGTTGGTACTCATTTAGGAAAGAACAGCTTGTCCGTTTGAAATAATTGTTATGGCACCCTCCCCCCAAAGACCATGGGGTGGAGAAAGGGCTGGCAGCTACTGTCCATCTTTTGCTCCAGAGGACTGACTCAGAAGCATCCTGCTGGGGATGGGCCCCATATGGAAAACAGACATGGAAGTGCTTGGTGAACTACTGAGAAGACACCTCGATACTACTGACTGAAGACAGGGACACATTATTTAGAACATCCTTAGTGTTAAGACACATCCTGGTGAGAACATAGCCCCATTCCCAGAGGCAGAGCTGGTCCCAGAAGGGTCAAAGCCTGGGCTGACCTCCAGGACACTCCCCCACAAGCCCGGCCAACTCTAGACCCCACAGCAGCCCCCAAACCTTCTCTCCTTTCACGACATCAAACTCCACAGTCTCCCCATCTCCAACGCTGCGCAGAAACTTCCTGGGGTTGTTTCTTTTAATAGCTGTCTGGTTGGGGGAAAGGCCATGAGAAAAGTGAGGGCAGCAAAAAAGAGTCTGTCTGTTCCACCCTTGCTGGGTCCACCACCCAATTCCATTCAACATTTTACTTGGGGTCCAGAGCTGGAGGGCAGAGCCAAAGATGGTCAAAGTTTAGTAGGGGAGGGGCTGGGGTGTAGCTTAGTGGTAGAATGCATGCTTAGCATGTGAAAGGCCCTGGATTCTATACCTGGCATTGAAAGAAAGAAAGAAAAAATTTAGTAGGGGAAAAGTCAAACTAGGAGCCTGGGGATCCACTGAGAAGTTACCACTGTCCCCAGGATACTCTCTCCCTTCCCTCCTATATCCCTCAGGGACTTCAAAAAGGGAGGCAAGAAAGAGGAAATCAAAAGCAAAACAAAAAGCAGAGACAGTCTTAAATTGCAAAATGGGTAAAACATACTGTGCTTCTTACCTCAATCCCAGAGAGCTCTTTACACCAAAGCAGTGGTTCTCAAGCTAGAGAGCATCAGAATCACCTGGGAGCTTGTTAAAATGGTGCCCAGCCCCAAGGTCTGACTGATTCGGTAGCTTGGGGCGGGGCCTGAGAATTTGGATATCAGGTGATGCTGCTGGTGGTGCGAGGACCATACTTTGAGAACCACTGCACCCAAGTCTCTCAGACCTGAGTTCTTTCCCTTGGAAAACTGCCTGATTCCTTCCTGTGGTGTTAACAGGTCCCAGTAGGTGGAGAGCATGTAGTGCCCAGAGGGCAAAACACACTGACAGCTGTTCAGTAACCCAACACAACTGGGGCTAATGGTTGATACAAGCACCTGAGGCAGATGGGAGAGTGGCTATTTCCACGTGGGCAGGCCGTTGAGGAGCCGGAGAAAGACTGCAGCTAAGGGTTATGGGAAAGGCCTTCAAAGAGAGGGCCAGTTCCTCCCCTCAGAAAGCCAACATAGCTTACCTGGTGAACAAAGACATCCTCCTTGGTGTCATTCCTGCAGAACAGGATGGGTCGTTAAGGGGGTGATTTTAATAAGACACTCAGTTCCACTAAGGCCTCCCTAGCTGTCCATTCTAAGATTGGTGGGCCCATCCTCTTCAGATTTCAGTTACTTGGGGGATAGACAGCACCCCCAAAAGCTGGTATAGAGAGGTACACCTAAAACCTCTGTGAAAATCCTGGTCTTCATGAGAAAGGAATGGAAGAGAAGGCAAAGGCACCTTGAAAGAGCTGGGACAGCTCTTTACCTACAGAGTGCTCCACCTTCTACCCTAGGGCACCTTAGAACCTGCTGGTGCAGGCTATAAATGTTTCTAGCCAACCCCCCACCCCCAGTCCCTACTGGGACTGGAAAATTACACTATCTCCTTTTTACATCCAAGGAGCAGGCCAGAGGTGCAGAATGACTTTGGGAAGGGGACAAGGTGTCAGGAACTTGTTCCAAACAGCCACAAAACCTTATGTTCATACTCAGCCTGGAAGTAAATCCACAGTCAGGCTCCCTCTCAACATACAGAGGGACCAAGGATGAGAGAAAAGAATATCCATTCTCTATCATTACCTTGCCTACAATCCTAGTTTATCCTAGAACCCTGTAGGATGAGAGGAGAGGAGAGGGACTCTTCACAGGAGCCTGCCTTCACCAGAACAAATGTTCCAGCTTTAAAAGCACTTGGATCTGCACAAAGGTCAGCCTGCTAAGAGGGAACTAAGGCCTCCCAGGAGGGCTTGGCTGGGCAGGGTGCCCGGGCTGGGGAAGGCTGCACTTGGGGGCTCTGCTCAGAATCTACCACTACAGCCTCTCCCAGGCTGGAAGGGGAGGGGCTGCCAACTGAAGAGAAGCAACAATCTCTGGCTGGACTACCTCCTTCCTCCCTCCCCCTACAGCCAGTCTCAGTCCCATCAGGTGGGGGATTCAAATGAGTCACAGCTCTTTAAGGGAGATGAGTCGTGAGGGTGCCTCAAGTGCTTCCCTTAACAGGAAATCAGTGAAGATTCTAGCCCAGAGCCCTGAGGTACACAGAGCGCCATAATTCCACCCCCAAAGTACAGCAAACTAAAAATAATGAAAATTCCTGAAGGTGAGACAGAAGCTAGGAAGGTCAGAACCAGGTTTGCCAAGTTCCTGGATCATTAATCCTCTGCTTGCCCTTGAAGATGTGGAGGAGGCTTCATCTTGCCACTAAGCACACGTTTGTGCTGTGGTTAAAGACTCAACCAGCGTCAGCTGGACATTGCAACCATGTGCCTTGGCAGGGGTAGAGATGAGGATGGGAAGGTGTCCAGTCCCACAGGCCAGTTCGAAGACACCCATTCCACCCTCTCCCTGGGTTCCTCGGATACCTGTTGATGAATCCGTAACCATTCCGGACGTTGAACCATTTGACAGTGCCCAGGACTTGGATTGCTGCCAGGCAGAGATGCAGTGGGGATAGTAAGATGGGGGGAAGAGATGGAGTTGGACTGAGTTTTGAGACACTCCAAAAACCTAACCTGCCTTCCTATTAAGCTTATTTTCAAGACAACTAGGTTTCACTACTAGCTTTAAGGTATTCTTATCCCAATTCCACCAAATTGAATCATCCACACAGGAGGCTTAAGCTTTCAAAACCCAACTCTAAGGCATGTTCCTCACATGCTATATAATTCCAGGTCCTTCACCTAGAACCGGTACTCACCTGATCCACTGAGTGCCACCCTCAGGTTATAACTCAAAAGCTTTTCTAGCCCTCCCAATGTAAGGGTCCCCAGTGCACCTGCTTCCCAAGTCAGAGTTTACCCCATGCTAACGAAGTCAACTGGGCCAAGCCTCCCGCCCCAGAGGCGTGGTCGAAATAAGGGTTTATTCTCCACCCCAAGGCCTTGGCTGAACCTGCTAGCCCCGGCTCTGCTCTGCCCCACCCCTACCGCCACCCCCACCCCCGGAAGGCATAGCAAGATTTCCCTCCAGGGGAATCCACTTTGGTCCGCAGTTCCCAGCTTGGTTAGGCCTGGGGCCAGGCCCATCTTCGGCTCTCTAGACCCTGTCAGACCCCACGCTGCCCCTCCCCCAGTCCGCCTACCCCTAAGAGCCGCCCTGGCGCGTGCGCCCCCCCTCACCCAGCACCGGCTTGTCCGCCTGACTCCGAGCCGGGGGCGCGGGGGTCCCCGAGGCCGCCTTCACTGGGTTGCCAGGGGTGCATGAGCCTGGCGCCGAGGGGGTCCCAGCAGCGGGGCCAGAGGCGGCTCCGCCCCCGCCGCCGCTGCCCGCCCCGCCGCCTGCTTTCTGCGGCTCTCCCGCGGGCACCGGTACCACCACCGCTACCACCCCTGCCGCCGTCGCGGGCACCGTCGCCGCGGGGGCCGCTGTCGCCACCACTGCCGCCTCCACCTCACTCATCCCGCCGGGTCCAGTACGGGCCCCCGCCGCCACCGCCCCGGCCCCTCCCCCCGGCTCGCGGACCCGCCGCCCCGCTCGGTCCTCGCGCCCCGAGCCTCGCCCGCACGGCGGCAGCGGGCCCTGAGCCCAGGCCAATAGCAGCCGGCTGCCGCGGCGCGCGCAGGCCCCGCCTCCCGACCACAGGCCAATCCTAGTCGCGCAGCCCCCCGACCCTCACGCCGGCCCCGCCTCCCAGACTTCGCACGGAGGCGGAGGCCCCCGCCCGCTGCCCCGTAAGTACACCTGGGCCCCGCCCCTATGACGCCATGTGACCTCTCCCAGCTCAGCCCATTGGCTGACAGCTATTTTCCCCTCCCCCCTCCGCCCCTTTCCACCGGCCGCGGGAAATCAAACGGGCTGGTTGCGCCCCCAACTGCCACCTGGCCTCTGCGCGAAAGGCGGGGCCGGGGGCGCGGCTCCGAAGGTTGCCCCTGACGACCTAGGTGGAGCGCGGCTGTCAGCAGCCTTAGGTCTGGCGGTGAGAGGCACTACTCGCCCTCAACCTCTAGACCGACCTAGCCCAGACCCTGCCAGGCGTAGACGCCTTCTCCCAGACACCACCGTTGATTCATTCCCCTTAGAGGATGTCCCGGCACACGGGGCGACTGTATCTGCTCGCAGGGCAGGCTGGAAAGCACCGCAAAACGATTTAACCAACTCAACAGTTATTTTCATAAGCCTGGGCCCCTGGTTTTTATTTTGTTTTTGAGACAAAGGGTACATGTAGCACACAAAGCACAGTTTTGCTGAGTTTTGATATGTCTATCCATGTAGGCAACACCTTAACCAAGATATGTTTTCCTCGCCCCAGGAAGTTCCCTGGAACCTCTTCCAGGTAATTCCAGCATCTTCACCGGTCACAATTCTAATGTCTCCCACCGCATGTCTCTCACGTCTATGTACGGGGTGCTGAAGTGTCTGGTTTTGGCACATGCAGTTTCCTCTGCTTCGAATGCGCCCCCCCGCCACCCCGTGTCTCTTAGGGTGGCCCTCTTCAAATATCAGCTTACATATCACGCCTCACTATCACATCATACATTATTTTTAAGGCACTTTTGAAAATATGAAATGATCCTATTTGCTTATTAATTCTACTCCAGCCCTACGCACATACGCTAGTGCACAATGCTCAATATTTATTGAATAAATAAATGATCCCCAATTCACAAATGAGTAGACAGATGACTGGTGCGCAGCTGTTCTCAGGTTTCTTGGAAGCCCGAGAAGTCCGTCCTAGGAGCCGCAATCTCCCTCCCTAAATAATGAGGCTCTAGAAGTCGCTCCTCCAGAACGCCCACCCGGGAGGACGCGAGCCTCGCTGGGCAGGGCGTATTTTTGGTTAGGGCAGCGGGTCCCAGATCAAGACACAAGCCTCCACGCGCAGCTCGTTCTGCCCCAAGTCTACTTCCCCAGTGCTAGGCTAGTATGGGCCAGGGCCCGAGTCCCGCAGCCGCCGCAGCCACAGCCTCTCCCGATCCCGGCGCGCCCTCTGCCGGCCAGTCTTGAAGGCTGCCAAATAGCGCTTCTTTGGCGGTCCACCTACTAACCTACCTGATGGATGCACACCACCCATCCCGCCAGATGATTCGATTTCCAAGGCATTGGGCACAGTGGACAGAAAAAGAGAAAAGATAAGCAAACGACTACATCGCAAGGCGAGGCGGTGAAGGATACAGAAATGACCACCCCTTCCTCAAACATGTTAAGGACCAGTTTATCTGTGGCAAGCCCTGAGCTTAAGGGAAACGGAGACCAAGACTGGAGAAAGCAAGCAAGATACCTCACGGGGTGACCTCTGCAGCAAAGAATCACATGGGAAATGCACGGAGTTCATTTGACGGGTGAGATGAAAGGAAGCTCAGATGAAGGGAGTGTGCTTTTCCTTACTTTCGTAGTGAAATTAAGAAAATGTCAGGAAAGCAGAGGCATGGGATATTGCAGGGAAAAGTACCCTTGGCAGATAAACTCGAATACAACATCATAATGAATAGAGGAAAAATTGAAAGCTTTTCCTCTAAAACCCGGAAACAAGACAAGGTTGTCCACTCTTACCAGTTCTATTCAATGTAGTTCTTGAAACTAGCCAGAGCAATCAGTCACAATGAGAAGGAAAATAAAGGGATACAAATAGGAAAAGAAGAAGTAAAACTATCACTTTTTGTTGATGATAAGATCCTTTATCTAGAAGACCCCCCAAAATTCCACCAGAAGACTCCTAGAGCCAATAAATGAATTTAGCAAAGTCAAAGGATACAAGATCAACAATCATAGATCAATAATTTTTCTACACTCCAACAGCAATTCAGCTGAGAAGAAATCAGGGAAATTATCCCTTTCACAATATTCTCAAAAAATCTGGGGGGGGGGGTAATCTAACCAAGGAAGCGAAAGATCTCTGCAATGAAAACTATAGGACACTGAAAAAAGAAATTGAAGAAGATCCCAGAAGATGGAAAGACCTCTCTTGTTCTTGGATAGGCAGAATTAATATTGTCAAAATGGCCACACTACCAAAAGCAATATACAGATTCAATGCAATCCCTATCAAAATACCAATGGCTTAAATTCATTTGGAAGAATAGCCAAAGCCATTCGGAATAAGAAAAGTGATGGAGGAGACATCACAATATCCAATCTCAAATTATGCTGTAGAGCTATAGTAGCAAAAACAATATGGTATTGGCATCAAAATAGACGCAAAAACCAATAGAATAGAATAGCAGACACAGAAGCAAATTCACATACTTACAGAGAACCATTTGTTAAAAAGGCTTTCAACTCTTCAACATACATTTTTGGCACCTTTTAAACAAATGGTTCTGGGGCCAGGCATGGTAGCACACGCCTATAATCCCAGTTACTAGAGAGGCTGAGGCAGGAGGAGCAAAAGTTTGAAGGCAGCCTCAGAAACTTAGGGAGAAAAAAAATAAAAAAGGGCTAAGGATATAACTCAGTGGTAGAGCATCCCTGGGTTCAATCTCCAGTACCAAAACAAAACAAAAGCAAATGGTGCTGGAGAAACTGGATATCTATATGTTGAAAAATTAAATTAGATCCCTTTCACTTCCACAAAAGTTAAATCAAAATGGATCAAAGACTTAGGAATTAGACTAGAAATGTTGCAATTGCTAGAAGAAAACATATGGTCAAAGCTCAAGAAATAAAACCAAGAATCAATAAGTGGGATGACATCAAGTTTAAAAGCTTTTGCATGGCAAAGAAAATGAGAATAAAGAGAGAGCCTACAGAATAGGAAAAAAATCTTTGTCAGCTATTCCTCTGACAAGGGATTAATATCCAGAATATATAAAGAACTCAAAAAAACTCAATGCCAAAAAAACCCCAAATAACCCAATTAATAAATGGACAAAATAACAGAAATTTATCAAAAGAAGAAACACAAAAGACCAACAAATATATGAAAAAATGTTCAACATCTCTAGCAACCAGGGAAATGAAAATCAAAAGATTTCATCTCACTCCAGTCAGAATACCAATGATCAAGAATACAAATAATAAATGCTGGTGAGGATATTAGGGAAAAGGTACAGCCATACACTGTTGTTGGGACTGCAAATTAGTACAATCACTTTGGAAAGCAGTGTGGAGATTCCTCCAAAAACTAGTGATGGAATCACTATATGATCCAGCAATCTCACTCCTCAGTACTTATGCAAAAGAATTAAAATCAGAATATTATAGTAATACAGCTACTACAATGTTTCTAGCAGCGCAATTCACAACAGCCAAATCATGGAATCAATCCAAATGCTCATCAGTAGATGAATGGATCAAGAAAATGTGGTAGATATACACAATGGAGTTTTACTCAGTCATAAAGAAGAACGAAACTATGGCACTTGCCAGTAAATGGTGAAAATGGAGAAAAATCAGAATAAGTGAAATAAGCCAGACCCAGAAAATCAAGGGTGGAAAGTTTTCTCTTATATGTGATAGCTAAAAGCACAGTAAGGGAAAGAAGGTAGTGGGGAATGGGATTAGATATAATAAAGATACAGTGAAGATCAGTGAAGGAGAATGAGAGGGAGGGAGGAAGAACCGGAAAGAGAAAGAAATATGGGCTGAATCTAATGGAATCATGCTATATACATATATAAATATACCAAAGCTTATATCTCCTTCATGTAAATGTAGAAAGTACCAATAAAAAATGAATAAATAAAGGAGTAAAGGGAAGATAAGTAGAAGGGGCAGAAAAAGGGTAGGGAGGAGGAAAGAAAAGGGGGAAGGGAAATGGGGGTTGAAATTAAATTCCTTGTATGTATAATTTTGTCAAAAGGGATCCAAATACTATGTATAATTATGATGCTCTTAAAAAAAGAACTATAATGCTGACTCTGTGAAAACAGTAATCTGAATAGATGCAACATAGCAATGTTTAATTCAGATTATTTTAATCATTTTTGGGGGGTACTAGGGATTGAACTCAGGGGCACTTGACCACTGAGCCACCTCTTCAGCCCTATTTTGTATTTCATTTAGAGACAGGGTCTCCCTGAGTTGCTTAGCGCCTCGCCATTGCTGAGGCTGGCTTTGAACTTTCAATCCTCCTGTGTCAGCCTCCCAAGCCACTAGGATTACAGGCGTGCACCACCACTCCTGGCTTAATCATTTTTTTATAATAAAACAACTGTGCATCAAGAAAAAAAAATACTCTTGGCAGATGAACACCACCTATTCATGGAACAGTGTAACATACACTCTATCGCCAAGGAGAAGGACTAGCAGACGCCACCAAGAGATGCAGTGAATTGCCTTGTTCAGGTAAAGGATTTGTGCATGTCATTTTTTTTGTTTTTCAAAAATATTTGTGTACCCTTTTTTTCTTGTTTTCGTAATTCCTAGGTTCAGTTAATTTTTTAAAATTAATCAATTAATTTATTTTGTGGTGCTGTGGATTGAACCCAGGGTCTCACTTGTGCTAGGCAAGCGCTCTGTCACTAGCTTC